TACCCTCAATACAGTTTTCATGAAGTGAAAGGATCGAAATGGAAACTAGATATACTTTGGTTTTTTCCTTTCATCGTAGGAGAGAACACCTCCGAAAAATTGAAGCACTTCTACTACATCATAGACAAACGAGAAAAAGCTGAGGAAATCAGAGGTAAGGAAGGGATGGGCCCATTCAGTAAAGCAATGAAAGTGCGCCCTATCTGTGGAGCTGAACCTGTGCATCATTCATTGCAATCCAAACAACTGTTACAGAAGCACGACGATGCCGGTATGGAAGAAAAGAAGCGACAGCTATACACTAGTCAAGCAACAAACGAATTTCTTGCAATGTCAAGTTAGAACTACCGCACAGTTTGATTGCACCGAAAGCGAAGCAGTGCTCAAGCAGCGAAGAAGAACAGCTAGTGGTAAGGGAAACAGGAGTCTGGAGGTAGACCGCAGCGTCACATGCTTGAGGCTCTGATAATATGTAAGAGGAGGTTCACATAAAGATACCGAGAGGAAAAGCTAAGTTGCGATGATCAGATCAAGACAGAAGCTCGCAATAAACGAACACCAAGGGATAGAAAGTATGGAGGAAACTCTCAATAGTGGCAGAACCCACTAGATAGATGGAAGAGATGCAAGAATAAAGAAAAAGAAGCAGATGCTTGAAATTTATGTGGGATCAAAATTCTCTATATCTGCGAAAGCATCAACCACCTTTGGCCATTTGTATTACCGGTACGCATCGATCACTACGTAAACGAATAGTTACTAGTCACCCACTCAAGAACAGTCCTTGGACGTCGGTATATTTTCAGAACATTGCGTAGGCTTCGGGCCTCGGCATAGTTCACGTAATTTTGTCGCCTGCGATTTTTACGAGAAGACAACTGTAGGAGTCCATTGCATGCCAATCGCCTTAGACATTCGCAGTTGTCTCCCGCAGGTGGTGTCCCGAAGCGCGGGTGCATGTATAAACAAGTGCAATTACAAATTACCGAGTTATTCTGTATTGGTGCCGGAGCCTTGAGCTTTATCACAGCAATTTCTATAGCGTGAGTTTCATTTTCAACTCAACT